AACTTTGTGAGAAGTTGAAATGAAGTGATTATAACTTTTGGACAAAACCCTGGTGAGCCTTCAACAGAACTTCCTGTTAACTATTAAGGGACACCAGCAGAATGGACCCCCTGAGGAGAGCACATGTTTTGGTTGATGTTAGTGCATTTACAAGAATAATGCCTCTTCCCTGATGGTTTCCATCACAACTGTAACACACACAGATTTAACACATGGATGTGAGTGTGTTAGGTAAGTAGTTTTATTGATTTTTGATCATACATCCCTGTCAAATAATACACTCAGTCTTTTTCTATGTGTAGCGTTGCAGATGATAGCTTCTGAGATCGGCTAAGTTCACATGTTGAAGAAGTGAAGTGATCCTTGTTCCTGTAATCCAGTTAGACTGCTGGCACATTTCAAATGGAAATTGTGTTGTTCACATGGCACGTATCATGAATGGAAATGTCTATTCCCTGCAGCGGTTGGTGCTAAGGGAACCAAATCCTTCAGGAAATCCTCTCCTCAGTTAGAAGTGGAGGTGGATCCTGGCAGCTCAACTGTTCTGCTCCGCCTGTGTGTTTACAGCTGATGGAAACATGGAGCTTATCAGCATGTTATATAAGATCAGGATTTACAGCGTTTGTAAAGGGGAATGCCAGAGGGGCTGCAGTCCTCAGAAATATGCTGTTATTTAGCTGATTGACCTGCACATATTTCATCCAGAGACACTTAATCACACCTGGACTCACTTCACAGGAAATCATCAAGTTGAAATATGGTGAATTTAATGCTTGAGAAAATATGAATGATGTGGAGAGAGAAGATGAGTCAGGTGTGTTTTTCAGGGGAACCTACAAGATTGTTTGCCTAGTAAATAACGTAGGGTGCTGCTTTTACACCTAAACTTTTGGTTCAGTTATAAATAACTCAGGTCCCTTTGTGCGCTTAGTGTTGTGCATTTGGGCTGATGTGAAAGCTGTCAGTCAAACCCTGGTGTGGACCAAACAACCAAACCAAGACCACTCAGAAAGGTGGGTCTCAGTCTGCTTCCAAATGGACTCTGGTGCAATTTGTTTGTGGTGTGAAAGAAAATGAACCAAACACAAGAATATGATAGCAGATGTGTGATTCTGGCAACAGTTAAATCAATAATAAATCCATCTGCTGATCATGAAATCTGTCTGCAATCTCATAACTGATTATGCTAATGCATGCCTGTAACCATGGTAATACATATGCACGTCAGTGAGGGTTTTTTCCCTGATTAAAAAGCTGTTAAAACTGCCATTATTATATTTGACTTCGTGTACTCTGTCTGTTAATTAAGTCCATTAAAAGTGTGTGTCAGTGATCCCACAGTACTAAGCCCTGAATCATTACTGTACAAGACGCCTTTTCACCCTGTCTTTATGTTAGTCATTATTCATAACATGATTAATTTGCCTTCTAATAATAGCCTACTAATAATTCTTACAATCAGTTTTTTCTTAATGAGCTCTTTGTGAAACCAAAAAACATTAAGATAAACTCTTTAGAAGCATTATGTGCTGCCGCAGAAACTGCATGAAGCTGATTTCTCCACGTGGGCCCTTGCAGTAAAGAATTAAGTAATGTTGTATCAACTCTGTGTTAAGACCTTATTTTGAAAAGCAGAGATTGTCGTGTATGTCCCTGCCTGAAAAAAAAAAAAAAAAGCCCTCCTATGAATGGTTAGAGGGAAATAAAAGCAAACACTGACGAAGAAATTACTGCAAAGTATTTAAGATCAAATCATGACTGAACAAATCCATTTTTCTTTATTAATGTCTTGAGTCTTGAGGCTACTTTGACAAAATGTTGGTCAAATTGTGTGCACAACCGAAACAGTGTGAGGAGTATATGGCTGTCAACTCTCAATTTTCCAATCCAATTTATGCAATTTCAAGACTGTGTAGGGACCCCGGCATGCAGAAGGGGAACCCTGATGAACTTTGGAGAATTATTTCAACAAGATAGCATGACATGGTTGGTTCTGATGGATGCATTAGGACCTCTAGTTCAGTATGATAAGCTTTAAAACTGAGCAGATACAGTCGGTTTTATTTTCTGCTTATGTCTTTATATATGTATTTCTCACCTTAAGCTCTGCCTGTCAAACCCGGTGTTTCTTCACATTTATCAGACATTTGGCTATTGTTTCTCTTCTACTTTAATTCTCTTGTCCTCTCTGTACCCTGACTTTTCTTTTAGGAGCTCCTAATTTTTGGTAAAGCATTCTGACTTAGCTAATCAGGCTAATCAGAGTTCACCTCACATGTTTACATTAACTGTGCTTGTATGTTCTGCGTGTATCTGACTATCTGACTGCACTATTTCACAATACCTGCGGGGGGTGGGAGTATCTGATGGCACACTGAAATGTGTTTTAATGATAAACATACATTAATTTATCATGTAAATACACGTAACTTGTATTGCTAAGGATATAACTTGGTGAATACATTTTTGCACTTGATACAAGTTAAGGGTTAACCAGACCTTTTCGTTGGCCGCTGCTTGGCCTTGAGCCACTGTCAGTTGTACCCTTTGATTCCCCCGATGCTGCTGGTTAACACTGCTAGTCCAGACAAATTAAGCAGTAGTGAAGCCTGTGACGAGCTGCCAAGAAGTGTATGGAAAGCTGCAGCGGCTGCTCTGAGCTAAGGCCATTTGATTTTGCAGCAGAGTGTGGCCAAACTAAAAGTTGGGGATAGTTTAGGCAGCAAATGTGTCCAGAGAACACCTGCATTTAACCAGTAAACAGAGTCCTGGACCTTCATTTGGTTAATTTCCATTACACACTGCGATTTTTAAACTGGACCAAACCGCCTGGACAATGTCACGCAGTTACAACAATGCTCGTTTGGGGGCAGTATTCCCGAAACAACCACTGACCAGGAAGAAAAAAAGCATGAGGAAGAAGAAAACCCGGGTCATCAACTGGCCACAAGCAACTGCGATATATATCCCTCTGACCATTTATCAATAAGCACCTGCACCTCCTCACTACTCCACGTCTGCCCATGAGACATTTTCCAATTTTTTCTTTTTTTTTTTTCTTTTTTACCCTTGCTTCTCGCGGTTTGTGCTGTTGGCTTTGTTTTTTTGCTACCCAAAATGCACTGTATTCTACATCACTTCCTGTCTTTGGTTCACTTCCTCTCTTTGGTTTGCTGGATAGTCCGTTTGCATTTCCCACTGTAAGCAAACCGCACCAGGGTTCACATGCAAGTGAACCGAGACCCCTAGTTTTCAAGCTTGTTTGGTTCGCACCAGAGTTCAAATGAGTGTTCACACCACTCCAAGCAAACCGAACTATTCGTGGAAGCAGACCAGGGTTCGTTTAAAGTGGACCAAATAGCGCCAGTGTGAATTCGTCCATACTCTCTGTGTTCAAATGTTGCAGATAGTTGTGGTCACACACAGGCAGTTCTATTTACACTATAACTGACAGTCTGCTTCAGCTCTGGCAGTAAACAGGAGGGCTGCACATGGACGCATGTGTGCAGACCCTCATGGACATGGGTGGATGAGAAGATTTACGTCACACGCACAAAAGTGAACCTATGAGGGTACATGTATGCGAAAACTGTGATCTGGCCTTTAGCTGTTGGCAAAGACACTCTATAACATAAGATAGCGTGTTACAAGCTGCACCAGTGGTATGAAATGATATATACTACTGGTCTCCTAAGTGGGTGTGGTCACCTTTCCTGCTTACCTCCCACCTCATTTGACAGTATTGTAAATTTTGTGTGGGTGGATGAAATCAGATTCAAAACAATACTACAAATAGTACAAATCTAATGTTTGCTCCTTGTTTTGCTGCTTGTTTTTATTAGCTAGCTTAATATCTGATATAGACCCAGTGCAATAAATCAGTCTTATAATGTTTTTTTTTCCTTTTGTTTCACATACAGTATAAATCTGTTTAAATTTCTGTTTATCTGGTTGGAAAGCGACTTTAGCAGTATTGCAATGAAACCAGACGGGCAGATCAGCACCACAGAGAGAAGAGATTCTGTGTTGCCAGATCTCATGAGAGTGGGTTGCTATGACAAAGATATGTCTCCAACAGATTTAATTTCCTCTTGATTTGTCCGTCTGAAAATTGCCATTTTAGAGTCAGAATGTTCTGGAGACATGTGGATTGTGAAAATTGGGCCAAATGCTTACTTCAGTGTCTATGGGGCAAAGGAAACGGTCATAAGCTGTACACACGTTCACTTTTACAATTGCAATGAATAGTGGCGAAACCCAGTGACACAGATTCAAGAAAGGAATCCAAAGTGGGCTGTCTCAGTTTATCAGAGGTTTCTGTCAATACACGATGTGAGTCATGCATGAGCGAAAAGGTCTGCCATCTTGTACAGCTACCTACAGTCACATCACTTGGACAAACCATGTGTCACGTGTCAACTAGGTATTAGATAGACCATATTATGAGACCAGATTACATCAGTTGTATGTCATTGTATTTTAATGTGTGTTCCTCTTTAGACACAGGCATATTTTTGAGGTGGCAAGGTCAATCACTCGCAAGGGTCCGTTCTCTGCTCCAACCACTCTCTCTACGGGGCCCCCCACTCCACGAGCCCTGGTGCAACTGCACTGCCTGCACTGTCTATATTTACGCCCCTGCTGCTTCCATATTGTTCTAATAATGTCACAGGCTCTAAGTGATATCACTAATTTTGACTTTCTGAAACAAAATGAGACATGAATGCAGCTCAATTATGAGAGTGAGAATTTGTATTATCATAACTACTGATTCTCTGTGGGGCTTCATTGTCACAAAGAAAATGT